TAAACAGGTGCTGGCAAATAAACCTTGCTGATTGAACCTGCATGGTCTCCAGGAGTTCTTTGGGCTAGGCTTGACAATTCTCCATTATTCATGCCTTACCTTGAATGAGAAATAGTTCTGCATTTACAGGATATAATTTTAAGGATTCATTACTCCTATTTAATACTCCTAGAGAGAATATGAGAGTCAGTTTGGTGTAGTGGCTAAGGCATCAGGCTAAAAACTGGGAGACTGTGAGTTCTAGTCCCACCTATGCACAAAGCCAGCTGAGTGACCTTGGGCCAGTCACTTTCTCTCAGCCATAGGAAGGAGGCAATGGCAAACCACTTCTGAAATACCTTGCCAAGAAAACTGCAGGGACTTGTCCAGGCAGTTTCTGAGAATTGGACATGATTGAATGGATAAAAGAGAGGGAGAGAAAGAGAGAGAGCACAAACATAAACATGATTAAAGAAGGTATGAGACTGCATAGCTGTGTCCATTACATCTGGAGTGTCCTGTCTTTCCCACTCAATCCAATATCTCACTACTTTGATTTGAAAGGTCTGAGGTCTGCTATATTCACTTGACTGTACAGGGAACACTTCCTGAAACTGCTTTATCATAGTCTATGACATGAGGATAATTTTACTCATGTTCCTTCCTTCCTGCTCACCGCAAAGAGAAAAGTTGGCACATATGGGAAGTGCTGTCAGACCAAGACTGCAAAAATCCAGATACCACTAGAATGTAAAGGAAAAAAATAGCAGAAAATCTAACTCTTTACTGCTATATAGTGAATATCTGTATTTTTATAGCTCAGCTCAGGTCTATTAGTCCTACATATAAGAGATTTTCTCCTATTTTTCCACCCACCTTGAGCTCTTATGCATTCTTTGGGAAGTAGAAGATAAAGAAGGACAAGGAAGAAAGAGGAAGACAATTCTGTTTTAGTCATCCCAGAATCATTCTCTATGTTAGCAATACCAATCTGAGAGGGAAGGAAGGAAGGAAGGAAGGAAGGAAGGAAGGAAGGAAGGAAGGAAGGAAGGGAGGAAGGAAGGAAGGGAGGAAGGAAGGAAGGGAGGAAGGAAGGAAGGGAGGAAGGAAGGAAGGGAGGAAGGAAGGAAGGGAGGAAGGAAGGAAGGGAGGAAGGAAGGAAGGGAGGAAGGAAGGAAGGGAGGAAGGAAGGAAGGAAGGAAGGAAGGAAGGAAGGAAGGAAGGAAGGAAGGAAAGTTTGAAGAGTTCAAAAGGCTACATTTTGTAGAAACTCCTAGTGATAGTTTCACAAGTGTTGCAAATCTTTTTCTGAAGTCAGAGTTATTGCTGAAAACATTTTGATAGTTAACTTACTGATTTACTTTTGAACATTGCCCTAGTATGAAGACAGTAGGATATTGATTCTTAGCACATGGAAGTTACATGACTTTTAAGGACAGTGACATTTTTCCAGTTCTTTTTAATCAACAGAAAACAGGCACCAATTCTGTTTTAAAAGGTTGTCCCTCAGTCTAGTGAACACCAGTAAATATAAATACATTTATCTTTTGCGTTCTCCTCTGCTAAATAACTCATCTGAGAATAATAAAGGCCCAGCAAGTATGTATTAGCCTCAAGCAACTTTTGAGAACCAGCTCGTTTAATGTAATTCTGGTAGATATTTGAGCATAAAGCTTCTTTCCTAGCAAACTCACAATGCATTTGCAAGTAGTCATTTTTGTACAGAATCAGGATTGAAATGCAGCAGAGACCTTTGTGGGCAGCTGGGACTAACTTTCTTTGCCACTTTCATGAGTTAGAACAGGGCAGATGGAAGGCAAAGAACTACATGTGTACCTCATCTAGTAAGGTATTTCCACTTGGCCTTACTGTGCAACAGCTGGGGCTTATTTTGCTTTTGAGAGCAACAGATTCATAATTATTACATGTTTGCATATTAGATAAAGCAAATGTGGTTTAGAAAAGAAAATAAGCTATTTTAAATTCTGAATGTGTGGTGGCCTTTTAGAAGATATCTTTTTCTAAACCAACCAGGTGTTACGTGTGTGTGGTGTTCATATGCAGTAGGCACCGTTATTTATTCTTACATCATAGAAATGCCAGGAAAGATAATAGAAAAATGCTTTAAATATTATAATATGTTCCTAATCAGTCAAATAATGACTATTCTTTTAAAGAATCAGTATGTATTTCTGAGTGGAGTGGCAGGGAATCAGTGTTCCTTTACAGGTTGTTGAACTAAAACTCCCAGCATTCCTTATATTGCAATTTAGCAAGATCTGGGGAGGAGGAGATGTTTTCAAAAATCAATAATGTAGATACTGGAAGCAAAACTAACAAAGCCTACAATAATAATTTGATTATTACTGTTAGAGATCACATGAGGAAATCAGCCATGTTTTAGTGTTTTGGTTGGATACAAGCACAATGAAAATTATATCTTACAAATTCATCCAAGGATGTGGAGCCCTGACTTTCATGGGCACAAACAAAAGTCGATTCTTCATCACTAACAACGTTTTATAATCAAATTCTTCTAGTTCTTCTTAATATATGTCTTACTGATGGACTAGAGCACAATAGTAAGAAAGCAGCAAAATACATAATAAAGGCTCACCTCTGCTAATACTGATGCTTGCTAATAGCTAATATTTGTACTAGTGTGGAAAAACTATAAGCATTTTAGATGGTATGCAAGACATTTAACCAGGTACTTACCATATCATGATTTCTAGTACATTTCTAGTATATTTCTAGTACTCCACAAGTGGAGTTCTTTCCATAGATTCAAATGCATTAGTTTTGTTTTTTCAAGGCTTAATATACATTTCCATCTCTATTTTACAAATAAAAAATTATAATAAATAAAAATATTTGTGCTAAAAATCACAAAATCAGGAAGGAAACAAATAATGCTGCTGAAAAGTAGCCATTTTGCCCTCAAATTTCAGCCATTGGTTTGGGAGTGTTTTGCAGGCTGCAAAATGCTACAGACAGTATATAGCTGGCCTTCTTTTGTGTTTATGTGTGTTTGTGTGTGTGTGTGCACCTTCCAGTCAGTGTTGACTCCTGGTGATTGCCAGGAGAAGTTCCTGCAGTTTTCTTGGCAAGGTTTTTCAGAAGTGGTTTGCCATTGCCTCCTTCCTAGGGCTGAGAGAGAATGACCCCAAGGTCCCCCCAGCTTAGTGCCTAAGGCAGGACTAGAACTCACTGGTTTCCAGCCTGGTACCTAATTTCACAATTCTCTTTTATTATTTAAATCATAAGCTGAGATATTGTTGGGGTGGGGAGAGGGCATCATTAAAAAAGGAAGCAACATAGTGTCTTCCTCCTCTGCAGCATTCCTTAGAAACAGAATGGTGAGTTAGTGAAAAATCCCCAATCCACTGGACAAGCTATAAAGGGGGAAAAAATGAAGAAAAATGTTTGTTTGCATAAGAAGTCCTCCACATACATTCCAGATTTTAAAGGCTAAATGAGATTTCCTGGTTTGGTAGAATTCATTCAAGGTTAAAGGGGGAAAAAAATGATGTAGCTGTATTTCATTCTCCAATGGAATAGTAGCTGCTGAAAAAATGCATGTTATCAATTGATTAATGCATGTAATAAATACAATTTTAAAAATAACGCAAAGGTGAAAGGCATGGACAACTTCTTTCTTGCCTGATTATTATGTCCCTTAAGTCATGACTTAACTCCTACATTTTAAGCCTATTCCAGCAGTGGAGTTTAACATTTTTTTTTTCCATGTATTTTAAATGTTGTAAGGGAAAAACAACCACACATTTTCTCTGTTTCTATTTTCAGCTTCTCCCAAAGTGGTTAAAAAAAAATAATAAGGTCATCAGATTTTACAGAGAGAGAGAGAGAGAGAAAGACAGCAAAGTGAATGGGGACAACTTAGTTCTTGCTTCCTTTATAAAAAGGAACATCTTGTATTTCTATTCAGTATTTTATGTTGCATATAATTAAGCAATTTTGTAAGATATAACAGTTTTGACTTTTTTTTGCAGAGTTTACAATGAGAAGCAACAGTCTGAAAAGATGTAAAACAACATCTCCACTATACAATCTCAGATTTTTTGCTTATAATAATGGAACATTTGCAAGATATGTTAAAGGCAGCATAAACATTTAATCCATATTTTATTTACAATTTATACAAAACTGGCAGGCTCTACTTACAAGAAATAACAAACTGTTCATGCAACATTACATTTCTTTCTTTTGTTTGGGTGTCTTTTTTCTTCACTTTGCAAATTGCAAATAAACTAATCAAACAGAATCCCAACAAAGTGAAGAAAAGGAACATGCTAAACAAGTCACAGACTATTATGCTATGCCTTCTCACTTATATAATAAAAAAAAAAAAACCCTATTTATTCACATCTCTTAAGTAAAGAAACAAAGCGGTTGTTTTGGAAGCTGGGTACAGATAGCTGCTTTGTAACCTTATTATGAGCTTTTCTGTATTTCACTTTGATATTGAGTATAATGTTACAGAGAAGCTTTATGGTAGATGAGTGAAATTAATTATTGTAAAGAGGAGGGGGCTTGTTATGTGATAAGAATTCATTTACTCAAAGCAGGACTGGGAAATCTGAAACTTCTAGATTCCTAGCATCCTAGCCACCACAGTCAACAGAGGGGGATTCTGGAAGCTGAAGTTCAGGAACATCTCTGTTTCTGCAATAAAAACAGAGTGGCCACCCTAAGATGAAAGAGAAGGTCATGCTCTTCTTAAAGGGAATGCCAGAGCTAGAGGAATGTAGGGGTACTCTATTTGGGCTGCACAACTTCAGATGGTCATTTGATGGCAGCAGAGACAGAATGGTTAATATCTAACATTCACTGCAAAGCATTCAGATTCTTGCCCAACAAGATGGCACCAGCTGTATACAAAAGTACACACATGT